AATTTGTAGAAATGATGCTCCTTGATGGATGCTTTATCATTGAGCTTATTCGAAACCATGCCATGAAAGGACAGAGAGACGAAAACGGCCATCCTCTTACACAATTTATTTTGAGTAGAGCAAAGCTTGATCTGTTGCTAGTTGAAAATCAAATTCCTTTCTTTATACTTTCAGAGTTGTTTGACATGACTGTGATGAGGAATGATGAACCAAGGGACTTTGTGGATATGGCTATTGATTTCTTATTGATGGTGGTGGCACTGCCAGAAGATCAGATTAGTAGACCCAAGAACATCGAGCATCAACCGGGCTTACTTCATAGACCCAAGAACATCAAGCATCTACTGGGCTTACTTCATGATTGCTGGACTTTTTCGCCTGATTGCTGGGAAGTCCATATCCCTTACTCACTAGGGGATCCTGAGTCACTCGAGGAAGTAAGGTCCCTATCCCCTGAGGCAAAGCTTAATCTCTGTTCATCAGGGGTAGTGCGGAGTTCACCACCTGAGCCTTTGGAGGAATTAAGGTTTCCATTGCTTAAGGCAGTGCATAACCCCAATTCATCACTATCTAAGTTATCAGAAGAAGATCCAATTTCAATGGCAGCGACGTTTGTAAGTTTTTCTGAACCCAAGCCATCTGTGTAAGTTTTGGCACCCTATTCATCCAAGGAAGTAAAGTTTCTGTCCTCTAACTCAAGTCATCTCTGCTATCTACAGGAAAAGGATGCACTAGAAGCAAAACCATCAACAAGTTTTTCCCCACTCAAGTCATTAGAGGAAGCGGAAGAAGTGCCAAGGAAACCAAAGGGGGCAGCACCAGCACCGTCAACAGCGAAACCAAAGGAGGCAGCACCAGCACCGTCAACGGCAGCAGATAGTGATAACAAGCTTGCTTCAAACCCTAATAGGAAGGAATGGCGATTCATACGTTCAGCAACACAGCTCAACGACGCAGGAATAACTTTTAAAAACAGTAAGGGGAGATTGTTTGATATAAAGTTTTACAAGGGGGTAATGTCAATTCCAACTTTAAGAATCGACGACAATACAGAGTCCATTCTTCGGAATTTGGTTGCTTATGAACAGTGCTCCAAGGGCGCATCTTCAAAATGTTTCACGGATTATATTACATTCATGGATCGCCTCATCAACACATGGAAGGATGTTGAATTACTTTCTAAACATGGAGTTATTGATAACTGGTTAGGTGATAATGACGTGGTCGCTGCCATGTTGAACAAAATCGGTGACTCTGTGTTGATCTCAAAAGACCACTTCTCTTATGCTGAGATCTTCATCGAAGTGGAAAAGCATTGCAACAAAAAGTGGTACCAGTGGATGGCAAATTTAAGGCAGAATTACTTTAACACTCCATGGGCGGGCGTTTCCTGCGTCGCTGGGGTTATCTTGCTTCTACTTAATTTGGTTACAGGTGTTATGTCGGTTCTTTCTTATCTGTTGAATTAAGTATGGAAAAGCTCCTCTCTACAGAGGCAGAGGCATATTGGGGTATCAAAAGCGAAAGTTATGCCGAACGCATATCTTCATGGTTATGTTCGTCATTCTAGAGTTTGCAATAAGTGAAGCTAGCTGCTCACACAAAATTGTTTCCCCGTTTAAATTGCGACGTCTTGTCGTGTTATGTATTCTACTAAAACTTTGCGTGGCTTGTATTCCTTAGTCCTTTTTTTCTTTTTCTTTTTCTGTTTTTTTTTTTTGGTAAAATGTATCCCTTTGAACTCAATTTGTAAGGATGTTTGCAGCAATCTATATATTTGTGCATTCCAACATAATAACTTTTATAATTCCTCCAGCCACCTCAACAGAATTAAACAAGAAAAACGAAATCAAAGATGATATGAAATTCAAAGACACAAATGGATATGTTTGTGTTGACCAAAAAGGTCAAATAAAATGGAATGAGGGGTGAATGATGTTGAAACTATTCAGTTAATTATCATAAGGAAATCAATTTCTTCTTAGAAGAGAATATACAATTTCAGTATGTATTGAGATAACGATTAATACTAATTTTCAAATAAAAAAAAAGGGATCAATATGAAAGTAGTTTTCAAATATTATTTTTTATATTTTTTGTATTTAGCAACTATTAATAAAATAAGTCAACTGAAAATATTTTCGGTTACTAAAAAAACACAATACAAGATTTTTAGAAATTGATTTTAAAAAAAAAAAACAAAAAATCTCAAACTCGATTTCCTACAAAAACACATTAATCCTTTCTAGGTCCACTTGCGTGCTTGGGTTAAAACAAAAGAAACACTGACATTCGACAAAAATCCTAGATTGATCTCCGTCTACTCGTCACCATTCCTCCTCCAGCAAGTCCGCAACTATCAAATCAAAGCCTCTTAAAATATCCAAACCCAAAAAAGAACCTCTCAAACACAATAATTTTCTGTAACACAATGCCCACAGACCTTGCACAAACAAAATTATAATTGGTAAATTCTTTTGAATACGAAAGACTAATTCATTCAAATTAAAACATACTTCAACATATTTGCACCAAAATCTGTGATTTTAGTAGAGCATTAAACCCAATTAAAAAGCTTGAAAGAAGAATAGTCATGTCATGACACACGACGTAGTTTTGTCTTGTTTTGTTCTGTAGTTTGGTTTATTAACCGTGATTCTATCCTCCCCGTCTCGAACAAGCCGAAGGCAAAGCAAAAACAGGAAAACATTACACCCTAATGGACTGGACAAAATATAGGCTTCTAATGGACCGAATCAGCTCATGGGCCGAGCTTACATTCATCATTTTAATGGACTAGGCTAAATTATCGGCGCTTAATCCATGAGTCCAATTACAAAATGTTTCGGTTTTGGAGTGATCGAATTGCCATGCCTACTCTGTGACAAGTGAACATGGCTAACATTTACATGATTTGGTCAACTAAAAATCAAACAAAATTATATGATATGATAGCTTTACACTCATATTTGTGAGCATTATTTGCTTTAAAAATTTTGATAAAGATCAAAAATGGAAAAGGAGATTTTGCAAATTAAACACTGACAGCAAAGAAAATTTTATGTATTTATAAGATATTGTTAAAAACTAATTATTATGTCCTCGTATGTGGTTAATCTTCAAAGTATACTCATGGAGACCCATTATATTTGTTTTTATAATATGGACTACACAAGTTGTAACTTTTGAGTTTTGAGTGAGAAATTTGATAAATTTACGTTGATAATTTTGAACTTTTTCATGAATATGTTTCATGTCTAGTTAGCAATACAAATCCTAACCAATGAAAAACTTATCCTCCTTGATCACAAATCCATTAAGACGTCAAAAGCAGTGATGAGTTCTATGTTTGCATGGGAATAATAGAAAGCAAGACAACTACTTGTATGCCAAGGAGAAATATTCACTGCTTAGACGGTGATATTGGGACTATGGTCTCGAATGGCTGTGCGACAAAATGTGGGATCAGAGTTCAAAAATTGTAATCTACGAAAGTTGAAGACAGAAGGAAATTGGATTGTTGCGTGATCAACATGAAAAACAAGGGTTCGATTTGGTTTGGGTTAGACCGTGTCTTTTGCAAGTTATATATGAGCTAGCCAGCCACATGGGAGAGTAAAATGGCAACATAGATTAGCACTAGGTGTGGGTTCCCACGAGCCACACTCGTAATCCCTTTCTCCATTCCTCCACAATTGCTATATTCAAAAAAGTTACATATGAGCTAAAATAAGCTGGGTTAGATGGATTTATAAGTATTGTTTTTGAAATGGGTAAGCTAAACTGAGATTTGATTTAAGAAAGTTGGGATGAGTTGTAGGTTTTTCCTTTTATTTTAAAAATATATAAAATATATTAATATTTATTTTAATTAATATATTACATATTTTTAAGGTAGTAAGAAGATTTTAAAAAATTAAAAGCACTAAACCATTGGAAAATGTCTCCAAATGAAGTCTAAGTCAATGCCAATCCTAACTTATTTAATTCATATGTCAAGTAATTTAAGTTAAAATATGTTATTAGATGAAAATTATTATCATGATTTGTTTTAAATGTGTGTTCCTAAAAAATTCTCAATTAAATGACTTCGCACGTGCGGAATTTGGATGCAAGTGTGCCACTTACTTTTCTGAAAATTAAGAAAAAGGATTCTCCCAACGACCTTCTCTTTCCACACGATCGATCTCCGTTATGATTGTTGGAAGAAAGTTGATTTAAAATTGAGTTTTGTGCCTTTCAGATGATTTGCAAGAGGGAGGGATGCCTTTTTGTAAAATGAGTTGCTGATTTGCCTTAGACAAACTCAAGGACTTTACCACTACCATGAATTTAAATTAATAGATCCAAAATGAACTGAATGAAATGAAAATTACAGTACACTTGATGTTTATTGCACGAAAGGAAAATAAAAAAGCAATTACACAAAATAATTTGGGTACTTAAATGCTGAAAACAACTTAAATCTATTAGAATTTATGCTAAAACTGAAATATGAAAGCTAAGATGGGCAATCACTATAAAACTAAAGAATTGAAAAATTGATGAGTTTCTGTGTAGGGCTGGCCATGTTTTCAAAAAATCAAAAAGCTTCTATTTATATGCATCTTGTGAGCTGTCTCTTAGCTGATAACATCACAAATAACCTCTTCTCAAATTCTAAGGATTGCTGTTCCTTTTAAATTTAAACTGCAACAAACTAGATAATCTTTATCTTTCTAACCAACTTTATAGATACGCATCTCTTCAGTGAATTTAATCTTACCTTATTCATTGACACGTGGTATCACTTAAAAAATGCAATTTATGATGTAAACAATATGTAAGTTGTCAATTTTTGCCATTTCTATTTAAGAGTGATTAAAATTAAATTAGTCTAGTCAATCAAATTAATCCATATTCTTATTAAAATTTTCTATTGAATGCTCTACGTTTTAATTTGAACTACTCAAATTACACAATAGAGATTATTAGATGAAAACAATCCGTAATATCATAGAGCCCCCATCTAATAATGTAAGGTGGGCATTTTTTTTTTTTTCTGTTCTTTCAAATTCTTACAAATAAAGAGTGACACTTTCCCAAGAAATTTCTACTTTGATCTTATCCAAGATTTGGTAGAATTATAGAATATATAGAAAAGAGGTAAAATTATTTATAAGGGGTGGTAGTTAATCCTGTTGTGGGGTTTTCGTTGAAGTACAGCAGAAAGATCTTTCAAGTTGCCATCTTTGAACAAAATATCCTAACCAGGTCTCAGCTGGATTTATACTGTCATACTTGGCCTCCCTCTATTAACACTCAGAAGAAAAAGTGTCAACATTTTTTCCTCTGAAACTTCGAGTCCCCAAAACAGAGGAGGAATCAGCAATGGAGTTGCCTGCTGGTGGCAATGGCGACGGCAAACGTAAGGAAGACACTGCAGGTGAAGATCGATAGTACTGTGGCTAGCGGCTATTCGACACCAAAAGGTCAAAAGTTTAGGATACCAGATATGTTGTCATGTCCAGCGGCACCAATGAAGCCCAAGTTTAGTTCCAAGAGGAAGAAGAGTTCTCAAATTGCTTTCTACGCTCCTCCCGAGATAGAGCTCTTCTTCTACTCTGCATTTCGTTATCATTTCACTTAATTTGTTGTTCTCAGAGGTGACCACTAGATACATTGGGATTCAATTCATGTCTCTTTCCAAACCCATCTAATTTGTTGGATCTTCTTCTTACTTTTTAGAAACATTAAAGTGTGCTATTCTTAAATTTTTTTTTTTTTTAGCGTGTTATACGAGCTGATATCACAGTCCCATCTTCCACCAACCTGGAATTCCGTTGGCTCCAACTGGAACGCGTTTATGTCTTTTTTGTGTTAAAGTATAGTAGCTCCAAATTATTGATATTTATTTATTTAAAATTAATATTAATGTTTAAATATTTATAACAAAAATTTTATTTTACAGTTTAAATGAGTCTAAAATATAAAATTTTTTTTTTATAACACTAAACAGTTTTTATTTTCAACAAAAACATAAACTATATTATTGATAGAAACTCCAAGTTTAAATATAGAATAGAATTAGGACGCCTATCTCACTTGTGAGACAAGGGTATATTATTGCATCTTTATGGTCCAAGTGTCCTAATTCACTTGGCGATCAGCCTCTGAGTAATAAAAAAACTCAAATGAGTGATTCTTGAAATATTGGTCAGAAAGTTGTTGCAGTTTTAAACACACACAAAATATATTTTTTAAAAGTAAAATGAAATTAGGATGTCTTGGCATTTAAAATTTTAAGATTTTTTGTGAAACTATTTAATATTTTTGATAAATTTTTTTTTGTGTGTTGATTTATTAAAGACATTTTAATCTTTTCATTGTCAATCCTAACATTTTAATTGTTAAAATGTTTTGATTTTCCTTGATCTGAATTTTTTATTAAAAAAATCTTATTTTATAATTTGAATTATATTAAATTGTAAAACAAAAACCATTGGATGAGAAAAAAAACCTCCACTATCAAAAAATTCACTCCCCATCTAATAGTTAGTGTAATATAGTTTAGTATAATCTAAATTGCACTATACTTTTTCATTAAAACCATTTCTAATTAAATAAAAGCATAATAACCTAAACTTTTTTCTATTTAATTATGTTAATTTTATTAGTTTCTAAATAAGGATATCAATTTTTAATTTTTTATTTAAAAATGTTAACTTTCAATTTTTTCTATTTAAGGATATTAACTTTCAATTTTTTCTATTTAAGCATTAATTTGATGATAATGCTAATATGATAAATATATTTTTTAACTGAAATATTGAAAGTTGACATCCTTAAATAGAAAAAAATTAAAAGTTAATATCTTTAAATAAAAAAAATTAAAAGTTGATATCCTATTTAAAAACTAACAAAATGAATATTTTTAAATAAAAAAAATCTAAAATTTACGTCCTTATTTGTACCATTTCTCTAATACTTATAAACAAACTTGCCTTGATATCAATTTCGACAGCTCCTAGACCACCGGATAAATCTTCCTAGGTTCATCTTAGGATAGGATCTCCCCATCAACTTATTGTGATAATTAGCGTTGCTGCGCAGCGATCTACTAATTTAATTTTCTCAAAAAGAAAGCAAAATCAAGAGTCGGATGAATACATAACTAAAGAAACTTAGACGAATCGGAAGTCTTTAATGGCATTTCCAATTTCTGGGTTTATGGATCATGGTTAATTTTACATTTCCTACACAGGCAACTAGATTTTCTTCTTTAAGGGTGAGAGAGACACTAACTGGGGTTGAATCCAAGTCAGGAACCTTCTCGTCTGATGGGTTAACCACCTAAACAGTGATTGGTATATTTTGTGTGTGTAAGGATGTACATTGGAAGAGAAATGGATTCATTGGTGGAGTTCGTGAAAATCAAGGGGGAAACCTTCACCTGTTCTTTTACATTTCTTCAACATCTTTCTTGGTGTACTTGTTTTCCCAAGAATATTGTTTTGTTTATGGCAAATTTTGGCTGTTAATTGAATTCCTTCGGTCCTTAAGAG